TATTTATTATCTTCTTCATATGTATTTTATATATTACTTATTTATTATACTATTATATTTAACATTATCTCTATTCTCTATTCTAATCTATATAGGTCTGGTTTCAAAATCGTCGTGCAAAAGCTAATCGTGCTAAAGCAAATGAACATAATGCTTCGCACCAACATCATCGATTCTTACATCATCATTCCGTTTCAACAGCTCAAGCTGCTAGTGGTCATGCTTCTTCTATTGGCATGATCAATCCTGGAAATTTCACTTTTGTTCCAATGTTTACAAATGGTGGCCCTTCAGCTGGTTGTCCGGCAAAGGGTCGTAACAATCGAAGACACTCTTGTGTTACTTCTACCATTAATTCTCAGAAAAAGTCTTCCCAAAATTCTCCTTTCACTAGACAAAGAGCTGCCACTGTTACTGGTGCTCCTATGACTTCTCATACTTCTCATACTTCTCATACTTCTCATACTTCTCATGCTTCTCATGCTTCTCATGCTTCTCATGCTTCTCATACTTCTCACACTTCATCTTCATCTCAAAAAATGGGTATTCCCCCTTCGTTAAAAATTATGCCTTACGGTCAAGACCATCAACTTCACCATGTTTATGGTCATAATCATACCGGTCATACCGTTCCCCCTTCCCCTGTTTCTCCTACTACTCCAATTTTACCTCCTCCTATTCCATCTTCACATTATATGTTACCTGGTCTTAATCCTTGTACTCTTCCACCTCCTATCGTTCCTCCAATTAAAGATCTTCTTGCTCCTCCTTCTGATCTATATCAATCTGGTCAACATTCTTTGACCTCGGTTCACCATCAATCTTATACTCAACCTCACCATTCATATCCTTCAGCTGTTGAATCTCAATCAACTCTTTCTTCAGCTGTATCAAAAACTTCTCCTATTGATATTCTTGCCACAGCTGCTGAGTTTGTTCAAAGTGAGGAAAAAGAAAAGGAACGCCTTAGGGCCCTTGAAGCTATGAAACGAGATGATGAGAATGATGATTCTCAGAAATCAAGCGTTTGGAGACCTTGGTTAGTGTGACTTATTCTTTACACGATTTCATCAATTTAATGAAATAAGTGTGAAAAAAAAAAATTTTTTTTGGCTAGTTGGCCAATTGCAATTGTTCGATTGGTATCTAGCTGTTCCCCTCAAGTTTTCTTTACTCCCAAGTTTTTTTTGACTTTTATTGATTGGTTTTATATATATCTATATATTTTTTGTTTTATTTTTTTTTCTTTAGATATGGGGGTTGTACGTAATGTACGTTCACATGTATCCTAGTGTTGTTGTATATTCTGTGTATTCGATGTACATTTCTTTTTACATTCTACTCGAATTTTTGTATCTTTTATTTTGTTGAGGGGTTTTTTTTTATTACTTGTTTTAAGAAATTTG